CCCTGTTGGGACTCTTTGTAGAATATCAGCTACCATTGTTAAACCATGGGGTGCTGCATGGTGCTGAACCTACCGCCGCCATGAGCTACAGTGTTTGGTGTGATGCTCAATCTATATCAGCAACTATAAGTATATATAATATCAAAACTAAAATATAACACACTCATAAAAATGATACATAGTATTACAAATGGGTACAATTATTACTAAACTAAGCGTGGACATGGTAACCTGGTAGTCATAAATGATCTGATCAGTAACAAATACTCATAAGTAAGGATTATTCTTTCTTCGTTTTCACATCAATGACTCAAACCCCATCAGTCGATTTGTTCATACCTGCATGAGAAAAGAGAGAGGGAGAGAAGACCACGCCCCCGGGTCTACTTGCTTATTAATGCCACAGAAAGTACTATAATTTAAAGAAGATTAAATAATTGTCTTGTTGTGATTATTTCTTCAGTATTTAATTATAATAAATGATATGTATTTGTGGCGGTTTATTACAAAACGTTGCGATATGGAAAAGAATTATTTGCAATCTTTATTTGCCAATTTTAACAGTTTACCAATGTTTTATTTCAACCCTGATGTCAAAAAAACTGCAATTTTTAATTGATCCAAAAGTTACTTAATAGAATATCGGATGTTAAATTAGAAGTTTGCTGTGATACGAGACAGTGAAGCAGTCATATTTGAGCAAAATTGCAGCAATATAATCAATGCACTATTATAATTATTGATTCTATGACAATCAATTACTTATCGGATCTTAAATGATTTTCTTTTTCGTTTCAAATTGACAGAGCGTTTCTGGACGATGTTAACACGACTCTTAGCCCAGCTAAAAAAAATAAAAGATCGTCATTAATCTGATATGATATAGCAACAAATGCCTGATGGTCTTTATAACATCAGCAAAACCTATTTTATTACATGTATTTTGTAAAGGCTTATTTCTTCTCTTACCACTTTAACGTATTGGAACCTCACTCTTGAGCTGCCTTAGACGGAACATTTGTCAGGGCATATAACGCAAGTAAACGTATTTATTTTAATAAAAAACTTTAATTATTTGAAAATATATTGTTGTATTAATTAATTTAATGTTGAAATGTTAACATAATGTTGAAATTTTTAAAATTTGATGTTAATACACAATGTTCTATTGTTAAATTATACTGTTATCATATTAAATTATAATGGAGAAATGATGAAATACCGCCGTAATATTTAAAATATATTGCAATGATGTATATTATGTGCATGAATTATGCGGAATGATAAAATGGTGTAATAATGGTATATAATGTTTCATGATAAAATCTAACGTTGTAATACAATTATAACGTTTTCAGATTTAAATAAAATGCAGTGATAAATTATTATGTTGTAAATGTAACAATACTCTGTTTTAGTGTTTAAATGTTTGATGTCAAATTTCGATGTTGTAATTTTTAATATATTGGTTATGTCAAATCGTTGTTCTAACTGTATTCGGTTGTTATGGTAAAATATCATGTTATGATAAATCAAAATGTTCTTATGTTAAAATAAAAGTTGTAATTATAAATTAACAAGTTATAATAATATATTACGATGTTGTATATCGAACACAATGGTTAATTATCATGTTACTGATAAAATGATAAAAGATCGCTATGATAATGTAATTGTAATGCTGAACATGCAATGTTCATTAGTTGATACGAAACGTTGTTGAACATATTATGTGATAAGTATGAACATCGCTGAGGGTCTTTCCTGACCATTATAGAATAGGAACTCGTTCAACTTGTAATAGTCATATCAAAGAGCAGATAGATAGTTGTCAGAATACCACGTTTACAAACCTTATGAGGGAAGGTCCACAATGTATAATGATATATATACAGACTTCTATAAAACGGTTATATATTATTGTCTTTAGATAATAATGTGTCAGAAATATTTGAATTTAACACCTTGCTAAATACAGGCATGCAATGTGTACCGCAAATAATATTAAATTAGGTTGTACAATCGCAGAAGTCTGCCTTTTTTTAAATACATGTGATAGTGTCTATACACAAGAAGGATTGAATTCTGAATTTACATTCAGTGCGGTTTTGATACTTTTAATGATTTCTTAAATACTGTAATTGTGCAAGTCTATGACAGGGCACGTGACGTCATCACTCACTGTGTGACGTCATCCTGTTAATATAAATATCTGTTTTGTCGTTTCGTATCGGCTTTGAGTTAAGATTTTGTCGTTGTGTGTTATACTTTGCCTTTATCTGTTGACACAAAAATATACTTTTAAAAAGTATGGTGGTTATTTTTAGAGCACACATTTATCATCTCCAGCCTTGAACTTATTATATTCAGCGTTCAAGATGATAGGTAGACTACGTGTGTCATGTATGAGTACAATATGTCAAGCGCTTGAGATCATTAAAGTCGAATCATGATTTCTAAACATACAATCGTTGAGAAAAGCCGGATGCGATTGCTTTTAAGTTTTGTTTTAACATTTTACCAGTTACATTAAACATGGTTAATTCATTTTAAAATCATCGCCTATATCATCAGCGCGCAATTGTACACATCGCGCAAAGAGTATAAAGAGAAAAACGCGAAAAACTCTTTTTTACTCTCAGTGATTGTATTAGTGATTTCATGTAATTTATAATTTGAAATGATACTTTTAATCACTATACCAGACGTGTTCTAAAGGCTTATTGTAGAATAAGATCTATATTTTACACGATGTGTGTTTGTCTGATTGATTTAATCATCTTTAACGCTATAGTTACGCCACATCTATCGTGCCGCCCCCTGGGTACTTCCATCGCTAAGTACACAGAGGCAGGGCGGCCATGTTTACCTGACCGACGAGTCTCCGGTAACGTTTACACGTCGGGATATACGTATTAATTTATTTATTAAGCCAGTTCTCTAACAATAAAACCAGTAAACCACCCCGATTGGAAACCGAGCGACTAAGTGCACCCCATTTCTAAAATGGCGCCTGGCTTTTGTGAGCGCGCGGTAGGATGACGGGATTATATTCAATGTCGTCTGCGCCATGCTAATAACATAATTAACACACCAAATAAAAAAGGGCCACTTGGGGGGATTTTTATACTGAATTTTACGCTTGTCATCTCAAAAGTTGCATTGAATCAACACATTCATTTTAAATCCCTATCGATGGGAATGTCAATGTAAATTAATTATTAAATCAGTCGCCAGGAGAGCGAACTGCGCCCTTATCCAATCAAAGCGGAAACATCTCTTACACCGGAAGTACGGAGATGGTTTATTCCACGGACGTGACTTAATATTTCCCGTTAGAGAACGCCTTATTTCTATAGGTGTAATCGAATGTTAAATACTCGTGAGGAAGGGGATAGACTGACGTATGTATCCAGTACAAGCGCTTTACGCTACGTTGCAGTCCGTAATTAGCACGGCACTATATATTATTATGTATATTTTACATAAATTGATAACCTCTATCACCCCCACATTCTTATATCGGTCCTTACTACTGTTACGAATTCAGCGTAAGAAACGCTAGCCGCACGAGACTCAGAAGCAAGGTAACAACTATACGTAAACACTTAAGGCTCGATCATACCTTCAATATTACGCTTGTGGTTCGTGTTAGAGTAATAAACTGACTATACATTACCATTTTAATACATTACTTGACTAGTCTATCAGGGTTGAACTCATTTGTGGTGAGTAATACGTCACAATAAGGAAGCATGCATCCTTAATGTACTGAAAAAAATGTAAATTTACGCGTTTTGGTTCCTCGAGTGATGCTTTTGTTATTGTGCCTTTGTTTCACGTGAACATTTTCGTGCAGATGACATAAACACGAAATCTGTGAAAATGTCATTGTTAACGGATATATGGGCCCTACCATGGTATGCAGTATTAACCCAAATAGAGTTCTTAATTCAGCAAGCTGTGATGTTAGATGACGTCAGATTGTTTTATAAATGTCGATTGCACAGACAGCAAAAGGTTGAAAATATTTATATTTATAACGTCATCATTTATATATTTATAATGTAAATATGGGTATTGATTTTCAATACTTTTCATGCCGGTATGAAGTTGCAATTCGGTCAAATACTCATTCTATACGAAGCTCTAGAGGCTTCATGCAATATGCATTCATACTAGCGTGAATGCCAACATCCTTTTTAATAAAAAGAAGTAAAAGATTGTCATGGATTGTGTCGTTATATTGTACTTGACTAGACAAAATTTGTTGGAACTATCATACCAATATATTTTTAATTAAGACATCATTCAGTGGAGTCTCTTGTTTGTAGTATTACTTGTCACTACCACTCGTTCTGTGTCGCGGGTGGTAGATCATAATCACAAGCACTATCCTAGTAGTCGACTGATCGATAGTATCTGTAGTAATCTAATCTGAATTTTTATACAGTTTCTCAAATGTTTTATAAGGGTTCATCAACGGCCCGTGCCTTAGTCGCATTAGTTAGTTGAGCCTACATGTATTTCATTGCCTACAATATTACAAATGGATTTGTCACGAGTGTATTACAACATGATCACCGTCCTGTTGTGTACTATATATTAGACACATTACGACAGGCAGTTCATATCTTAAATCATCTTAAGTATTCTAAAAGCATATGCTTACGATTTGTACAAATATTATTACTAGAGTATATTAACTGTCGTAATTGTAATGTCTAATAATAATAATATTTGTCTTCTTTCGTCATTTGTGTTTCTATGTTATTAAATGCATGATAAAAGGAACTGAATAGGAATGTTTATAAACAAAGAACTATGTACTTATACAAAGATGCTTTCTAATCATTATAGATTCTCCTACTAATTAAGAAGTATAGCTGGCTTTTATCTCAACCCTTTTTGAAGCTTTTTGTGCTTCTAGCATCGCTGAAAAATACCTGTTTATCGAAACACGCATGTCTACTATACTATTTACGAACAAGTCCAAACAATACTTTCTTGTTGTTTTTATTCATATATGAAATGATTGTGACAGGTTTATGAACAATATGTACAAGTATCTCCAATCTCACAGACATAACTCTCTCACATACAATATATAGTACACATACATCCATGACGTATTAAACACAAAAGATACTATATCTACTGCGCATGTGCATAACAAGCGCTTTGTGTGCTTACAACTGTTATGAAATACAAATCGACATTATAATGGACATATTTATGAAACATTTACATATACAAATACTCATACTAGTATTATATTTCCTTAGATTTATTTTTATATTCAAAATATTCCCAAAATAGTTTCAAGGTATTATTAATACGACAATGTTCAAAGCGTTATACTTAGTCAGAGACTTATCATAAATTATACTGAATTGTAAACGTCAAAACAGACTTATAAAATTAGCTTTCCTTAAAAAAATACAAAACTCTACAAAATAAGCTACATAAATATTGAAGATGGTGTCCACCTCCCAAGATTGTCTTTAATGATACGTAGCCAAATCATGAGCATACGTCATCAGTTTATGAGCGAACGTCATATGTTTCCAACATAACAACTGTCACTGGAGAGCAACACAATGCGATAAACATGGACGTTCATGAGGCAACTTCACTTCACAGAGAATGACAAATACATTTCAGATGTCCATGTCATTATGAACAGTCCGAGAGTCTAGTCAATGTTGGTCTGTTCCTTGGACACCTCGACTCTATACTCGTCTGCTGTATGATATCGTGTGTGGAGCTACGAAACATTCATGTTTGGTATGAAGACTTTCTTCATAACGCAATAAGGAGCACACAGAAAGTAACATTTCACATTTGTTCCATTTCCTGCAATCCCTCAAATCGAGTCTTGTAATACGTGCATCCCCATCTATGCGTTCAAGTAAGTCACGTGCATCGTAATCACTTACGCAGGCAGTACGTTTAGACAGTTAAACTCAATGTTATAGTAATTCCTATTTCATTGGGTCAAAGGTCAAAAGGTGGCCGTCATCTTTCCAGCGTCGGCAACATGCATCAAACTCAGGGCGGCGGAATGTTCACGAGAGCGCATGCGTAGAGCTGCAAGACTATCATCTATGGAACATCGATCGGTCATACTTGGTACTGTAAGTTAAAATAAGGCAAACGTAATCAATAATTAAATACTTCCAAATATCCATGAAGCGTTTGTTGAAGTTATTGATAACAATAACTGTAAGTGTGATTATCGTATTATCATCATGTGATTCTCATTGCGAGGTTATTACGATTTAACTGACAATACGTGTTGGTGTAAATTTTCACAGCTTCGGCATTATACATACTTAACACCTTATGAGGACTCAGTTATACGAATGGAGGGATATTGTACAGAAATACGGCCAGTGCGTACTTATTGATAAGGATACATGCGCTGCGGCTAGTTAAAACTGAGGATTGCAACCGAAATACTGCACGAGGATACAGACGAGATTTGTAAATATACATAGTTATCTAGCGAACATTTTTAAAATCGAAAAAAGGCTTTTCAATGACCGTTTCGGCAAGGGAAAAAATTGACCTTTACGTCTCTCAAATATCCATCAAGTAGATGTGATACATTTAATTACACAAAACTGGAAAAGAAAATATGACTTACCTGTTATGTGGGGTGGGTAATGAATCGACGTTTTGCTGACGTCACTGTAGGGCGAGTGGTAGTGGTTGGTTGTGGGTGGATAACTCGAAATGGATGACGTCGTTGATGACGTCACTGGTGTTGCCCAAGTGTTAGTAAAGGTATTTTCTGTGTTTACCATTGACGTCAATGAATGCATCTGCAAAAAAATGGAGGAGACATTTTAAAAATCAACGGATGATTGAGAAGTGTTAGATGTTAGATAATACCCCTTTTCATTTGTTTTTGCTACATTCTCGTTGGTTGAATAATAATCACGTGGAGGTCGGTAATTGTTTATATTAACTCGGGATGACTATTTTTAGAAACATCAGGTTAACATAACGTCACTTCAATTTTAGCATTGCTATGCCGTCTGCCAAATACGTTATAGTTTCTTGACGAGTTGCTTGCGCTTTGCATTATTTAATGATAAATACGTTATAATTTTACATCTAACATTTCATTTCGTCTAATAATATATTCAAATTCCAAACAACTGAAATGAATAACAGAAGTACATGACATTCGAAATATTAATAAAAAGGTCGGTGTTTAGCGAAATTAATTTAATCATTTAACTTGATGTAAGAATCGTGGTTTTCTAACTTACTTGTGACGAGTGAGACAGGTAATTATCCATAATACCAGCATACGAGTTCTCGTGTTTGATTGGCTGACTCATTGACTGTAAAGACTGGGGTACTGTTGATCTGTGAAACAGGCCCTCTAAAAGTGGAACGAAAAAAACGTTTGAATATTTTATAGAAATATATATACAGATGTTGGCAAAACAATAGNCCCCAACCCCCAACCCCTTAATATATTTATAAAAATACCACTTATATTAATAACACCATATTCAGAATATTCTTTCATGCATTTGTTTTGCATTGTTAATTCTACTCCAATCATATTTCATAAAAATTATATCAAGAATAGATTAGAGCATAGAGTTAACTGATGCTTGTGTTTGTGAATGAGTCTTCTTTACCTGTCCCCGAAGGCAGTGAGTATCCCGTTGGCTCGTGGAAGACGTACGATGAATTAGCGACACCTTGCGGCACCTGTAGAAAGCTATTCAGGGCGGTAATCTGATTACTACCCATCTGTTTTCTAAATCTAGCTCTTCTGTTGCTGAACCACACTTGAACACGAGCTTCGGTCAGTTTTGTTCTCTGAGCTAGTTCTTCTCGTGTATATATATCCGGATAGTGCGTGCGTTCGAAAGCTCTTTCTAATTCGTCCAATTGCTCCGCCGTGAAAGTAGTTCTGCTGCGTCTCTGTTTCCGTTTGACTGAGAGACCAGGTTCTGAGTCGCAGTCAGATCCTTCTGCAATAAGAAAACAAAGGCGAATATTAAACACAAATGTATTTAAGAATCGAAGGTATTTAATATGGCTAAAAAACTAACGCGATGAAACCTGATTTAGTCGACACCTGTTTTTCCGACCAAATGTTTCAGTCCGATTTTGATGCCGGTAAAGAGAGTTTATACTGCGTCGAAACTTCAAAAAAGGACAATAGCAGGTACCCGTTTTACGAATTGGCTTCCCCATATCGAATAACGCATTTCGTGTGTTGAAAGTGTGTGATTAATTACTTGGTATGTTCCTTCTCATAATAAATAAAGCTCATGTATACCTATCCACCAACATATCGATGGTGTCACTTCCGGTTAGACTGAGGTTTGTTCCGGTTCCGGTTGTATTTGCGTTATAACATTAGTCTGTACAGTAAAGTTGTTAAAATACGAATACGTTTGAACTTATTTCAAGTAGAATATTCCCGATGATAACCTAATATTGATCTACAATGTTATTGTTTGAATCCCCTGCCTCCTTACGTTGTTCCCGGTAGCTATCCTTATAATCTCCGTTGTATTTTCAAGTGCTATGCAAGAATTAACTTTGTTACTGAAAATAATCTATGACCACAGACCAAATGAACCCGTCACAACCTACTCGTTGTTAGTGTGGTCACCTCGCGCTTCATTTTACAGCAATACTCGGTATGTGTACGTAGCTATCCGACACACCGTGTACTACCACAGATATACTCAATCTTACGGTATAATATAAGATATCAAAACCACAGCGGTCTCAACCACATTCCACGGAGACTTTTTATCACAAAGCGGTGTGCTATTTCGGGCATGACTTTTCAAGTATTTATTATAGATTTAAGCTGTATTTTTATCATTATCCTGCATAATGCATCCCCGTCAAACATCCCGAGTATGTATCAATATTGTAAACAGCAACAACACACAAACAGATTTAATCCATGTATCTGTCGGTTTGTCGCGTGAGCAGAGTCCCAATAAGCTTGTAGGCTGTCTGTGTCGACTCTCAATGTGAAAATCATAACATACCTAACATAGCTAACGGTTTCATCACAGAACACAGCCTTACGTCAGTGGTTACGTGAATTAGTGCGTCGGTTATAGTTTTATACCAACTATCAACACATGGAAATGTATTACAAATTACTGTTAATTTGACAGAAACAGACTCTACCCCTGTCCAACCCCATATCCGGTCTTTTTTTTCATTTGATAAGTGTTGTACGTCTTTGCAACAGTTATAGCCATGTGACATGTGTTCAAAATTGATTGATCCACAAGGGTTCAATTAAAGGCGCCAAGATTTGGACACGGAGGTTTGGTATCATTCCCGTTGTGCGGACATTCTTGTAAGTCTACCAAATACAAACTAGATTGGGATGACAAGAGGATGGTTATTTTATACCATGATACATAAATAGAAGTGAATATCTGACAGATGGACAATGTTGAAGGCTTACAATGAAGTATAATGATACTGTTACAATGTGTGCTGGTATAAATCATATCTGGATATATCTACTTGTGTGTGGGTGGTTTTTGTTTGTTTGTTTGTTGGGGGGGGGGGGGGGGGGTAATTGCATTGAATCTGCATGGACATGTTGTTTCAATCTGACTAATTAAGCATAGTTATACATTTTCTTCTTTAGAAATGCTGATTTAATATGAAAAGCTAATGCAATTTTGTCATGAATTTTATAATTCTGAAGTGATTTTATCAACTTGTGAGGCCCAATCTGTTTTTCGAAAGGGAATCTATGGCAGATCTTTGAGATTATATTTTTTCTACTTTTACCTTTTCGGGGTTATTAAGGACAAAGACTGAAGAGATTAAATCTTTCGACGCGGAAGGCTCTGCCAAATTCGCAGCAGGAAACCGTCTATCGAAAGGCCACATAGTCTGCGCCTAGCAGGCCACGATTCTGCCACACATTCATAATTTGCTTTGGCCAATCATTGAGAGAGAAATTATTATCTCACTCTAATAAATGGCGTATAGCAATTCTATGCTGTATTCATAACGTGTGTACGGCCCATTGCACCAAAATAATATTGAAATTATAGAAATTTTCCGAGTTATAAGTGAAAAACTTGCAAGGATTCGAGTGCATTTCACCTTCCGTTGTTGTAGCGTAGTAATATCTTACACGCCGTCGTTGACTCACAGATCAATATGACTGGTTTGTATTTATATAATATATATATATCATAATCAATATAATCAGGCCTCAGTGCCTGGGATTAAGCGGGTACACTGTGACAGTATAGAACTTCTCATGGTCGCCAGAAAAATCGAAATTTAACACGAAGCGTGAAAGGGTTATTGAGGTGAAAGTCACCTGGCTAGGGAGGTTGAGGTCAAAAAATCCAAATTAAAACGGCAAATGGCTAACAATGAAATCGACAAATTGCATATCTGAATTTACAGGTGTGACTTTATGGGAATTAATCAACGATTCAATCGAGTTCATCAGGCCGCTTTCTGTCCAGGTTTGATAGTATTGTGGTAGGGCCGTGTAGATGTCAGTGTCTGTGTCCCGGCGTACCCCACGCTGGTCCCAAACAGCTGGACACTACGTCATTACCTGGCCAAGCCTCATCAGAAAGGATAAATATCCATGGGGATGGTTACCGTTCCTTTGAAATTCGATTCCAAATTTTGCGGTTCAACAAAAATAAATACATTCTGAGATTGTGTACTACTAAAGGAAAAGTCATTTGGGAAAGTTGAAAACTACCGTGTCGTATGAAATGTAAACTAAATCTCGGCATGAAATTTTGTATTTTTTTTGTTATGGCTGTAGAAAATCCCCCGTCGCACCATCACAATAGAGCTGTCACGGCAGATAGTCCAATTCAGCTTTTACAGAACATTAATTTTCTATTTTGACCCTTGACTTTATTAATTTCATGATCACTTCATGAATTTCGACATTTGATATGTGGAATTAGATTGAGATGTTAAACTATCAAGCGACATGTGGGAAAACTTCAATAGACATAATCTGTGTCCTCGTGTAATGGGTGTCGGACGGTTACGGTGCGTACTCCAAACATCCACGTCAATTTCATGGAATGTGTATCACCATAAAACAGGGTTCAGTAACAGAGGAGTAAGTTACCTATAAATCGTTACATTAATACACCTTATTGTTGTTGTAGTTAAATAAGTTATTGACGAGAGTCGAGTAAACATTGATTTTTTTTTTTTGAATTTGAAAGAAAACACAACACTCATATCATATGTATTATCGTATATTCAAAATGAGATAATTAATTGACGCAGGCCTTTGGCCTGTATGGGCCTGTATACCCATATCAATCATTTAAATAGTTCTCAAACCCGTTCCTGATAGTATACACATGTATCAGAATTTTCGCGAATCACCATACTATTTGTTTGTTCATTACTAGAATGTTTTCTTATTAAAATTTGATATCCGCTAGTAAAATATCAACATGTACCGTTCTTTAAGATAATGTTAAACGTTTCTAGGCTTTCGGTATAGTATTGACAAAATATTATTTTTCATAACCAATGAAAATTTCACGTAATTTAAATCCGTATCACGTTCATATCGCATGATCATCTACAGTGGCGGATCCAGAGACTTATCTGGGG